ACAAATACATATTTTGGACAATAGTTTTTGTGATGAGGTATGTTGATGCTATACTAAGTTGAGGTAGATTCTAATCAGGCATTGTCTTTTATTAGGTTCTACTTAACTGCTGGATTTTGAAAGAGTAGGATTGTTATCTCACCCCAAAAAAGTATTCATATTTGTTTAAAGGAATGCAGCAAAGGACACGACTAAAAGTATAATAGCTGCCCTAAGTTTGCAGAGACACATAGGTTATCCTTAATGCTGATGCTATTTTTATTAATGGAATTAATGGATAGTACCAGGATTCCTTTATGATAAAAGGTGGGCTTTGAGTATCATTTCAAATTTCTTTTTAAATATATTTAAATCTGTTCAGATGTATGAGAACCAGATATACACCTGAGTTAATTTAAAGAATGATGAATCATTGGCTCCACTCAAAAAACTGCTTTAATGAGTTTTAAATTTCACACGGTTTTGCTGCTCAAGAAAGGTCTTATGAATAAATAGTGTTTTAAATTGTCTGCATAATCAAAACACCCAGTGAAACATGAGTGGTATGTTGATTTTGCATTACTAGGAGTGTCAAATAGCAGTTATGAGCTAGAAACCTATGGAACAGCTATCCTCACGTGATGGGATTGTGATGGGATTGTTGATTCGGACTTCCCTATTTTACCATACAATTTTGTTTATGTCCACAGTTCTAAAGCCATTTTATAATACTGCAGTATCCCTTTTCTACAGCCTTATTAAAATAGCTACAAACATTTTTCCAATGCAGTAACCCTTTTCTACAGCCTTATTAAAATAGCTACAAACATTTTTCATTTCAGTTTCACTTTTGTTGTATATCGAAGTTTTATTCTACAGACCAACAAACGAACTTGAGGTAAATTATATAGCTTTCCATTTATCCTTTTTCCTCAGGTGCTAAACAAGGCTCCAAAAATGGATACTGTTTTAGCAATGTCTGCTTTATTCTTAAAATACTTCTTTTGCTAGATGTAAAGATTTGTGTTAACAAACAAGGTTTTAATCTGTAAATATGAATGGATGCCTTTAGTTTGCCCCTGTTTATTATTACTCTTTCATTTATCCTCTATAGAAGAGGATTCTTTCATGATCTTGAAGATAATTCATTAGGTATTGTTGCATTTTTAGGATGAAAATACAACTTTTCTGTCTTAGATTAATCCTGCTGCTGCTATGAGAAACTGAAAATCAAGAATGTGATGCACTTTTTACATTACTATATACCATACATTTATTGGTTGCTTTGATACATTTCCTGTAGCACAGCCACTAACAAAAGTGAGTGAATTAAAAATTCTCTTTGGGAGGGAATCAGTACAAATAACTTTATGGTATTGGCCTATCAAGGACAATAATTTAGGAAATTAAAAATTCTGTTAGTATACTTTTTGGCCTTAAAATGTCTTCTACTACTGAAAAATTTTTTAATTCTTAGTTTTGTTTTTATTAATTCCTCTCTGCCTCAAAAAAAGGAGCTGGGAAGAATGGCTTAATGCAAGTGGTATCCTTGGTTTGTTGCTAATCTATTTTAGGAAGAAAACAATTGTCTACTTATATAAGCTGGGGACTTATTTTTTTGTTTGTATACAGAAGAAATAGTGCTACCCTAAGCCAATCAGATTTATTTTAATCGAATCAATTTCAACTATTCCGCTTCTCTAGTATATTTTTACTTAGCAAAGTTAAATATAGTAGGAATGCTACTTAACAAGAGGAAAGTCATTTCTCAAGCACATACCCAAACTTTAAGGAGATTGAACCCAAAATAATGGAGGAAGAAAACACCAAATGGGGTGAAGTATGAGAAAGATACGTGGTCCAAAGCTATCTGGTTATATTTTGATGTTGCCAATAATGCAAAGCCAAAATTTTAATTTGCTTATTTAATATATTTGTTGGCCAGAGATCTATTTTTATATCAATGTGCCTTGCATGTATATTAAAAAAATAAACATTGGAAAGGCCATGTAGTAATGCCTGAGATAGTTAATGGTTCTTACCACCTCACTAATTTTTATGCAGTATGAAATGCTCATTCTATCGCCCACTGGTGCTCTCTGTTTAAAGTTACAGATCTTGTCACAAACTGGAACTATTTTATAAACTGGGGAAATGATTTAATTTACTTTTTTGTTGTTTCTTTTCGTTTGTAGTCCGTTAGTGGCTGTTCTGTAGTGGGAAATAGTAAAAGGATTCTTCACTTCCTTTCCCTTCCCTCTCAGCACCTTCTTCAAGTAATGTGATGACACCATTTCTTGTGTGCTTTGAAAAAAATTTTAGCTTGCTGTTTCCTTTAGTGTTGTTTAAAAAAGTGTTATAAAAAGCATTGTTTGCAAAATCTAGGGAGATAATGGAGTCCGCTTTAATTTGGAATTCTATGTGAGCTATGATCCAAGTTATTGGCTCTTTCAACAAGTTTTTTATTGTTAAAGCACCTTGCCTAGAAAATTTTAAATACTTATGTCTGCAACAATTGTCTCAAAATAATGAACTGTGCAATTCTTGTCATTAAAAAAAAGATCTGAACTCTCCCTAATGTGACTTGTTAGTTTCTCTGTATTTCCTGCAGTATAAATGTGAAAAGCTTTGCTTGCATTACGTTTTAGAAATGCATTTTGCACACTAGAATTTTGCTGAAGCTCCATGAAAAGGTTAGGTCTAAGTAGATGAATAAAGCTATGCACATGTTTTGAAAGTTTAATTTGTGTGTCATTACCAAAAGTGACCTATCCTTATTTGCTGTTCTTAGCATCACCATCTTTAGAAACTTAGCTCAAAGTTACAGTTCTGAGCTAGCTCATGAGTGGAGCTAGAAAAGAAAACTGACACCTTTTTAGTAAACCAGTTTAAATGAGAGCTTGACTTGTATCTACTAAAGGGCTTTTCTTGAAAGAGGGCAGTTTCATCAGTTTTACAAACTGTTGGATGCTCTACTTCCTCAGTGAAATTTTTGGTTTATTTGATCAAATAGAAATGGGAAGTAATTCAAAGTGAAATGAAGGAAGGTCCTTTGCCACATGGAGTTCTGTGACAATTTTATGACTTAAATTTGGTTTAAAGGAGGATAACCTTTTTACCATGATCACTTTAGTATAAATTTAGTTTAATAAATGAACGGTTGACTTGAGATTATAATCATTAGGTTGTTTAAAGATCTAAGCACAGCTTGTTTTAAAGATAATATGTGTCTTTTAAAAAATGCCCAATTAGAACAAGTGTAGAATTTGGGCAAATTCGGTGAAATTGCTGCAGTCTGCATGTACTAAATAGCCTTACTTCACATGTATGTGTGCTTAAAAGATTGTGTAGATGTACTGGCCAGGTTTTGTCAGTCATTTTTAAAAGATTGTTTTATAATCTCTTCAGGACCTTTGTAGAAGAGGCTAATAAGTTTAAATAGAAGATAATACTCATGATATTTTTCCCATGCTTCTAGATATAAAAGAAATTTGTTTTATAGCTTTTTCCTATGTGTAGAAGAGGGTTACTTCTCTGTCATCGAGTGTGCTCTTGATGTGTGTTGACTTTGAAAACACAGCAAAATCCTGTATCTTCACTGAAAGTGACAGTTAAAAACTAAATCTTAACTAGTCAAGACTCAAAAGGTTGCCTATAATGCATGGCCTTAAAAGGCATAAATGTAGGGATGTAGCATCATCTTAGGTGGTTATGGCTACTACTCAGAATCTGCAAGTAAGTAGTTCACTTATATTCAGTCTAGAACACATTTGAAGGAGCAAAGTAATTTCTGTGTCTTGTGTGCATTGGCATTTAGGAGCTGAGTTACCTCTTAATCTAGGGGAAAGGATAATTAGTGGACTACAATTATGTTAGAGGATGTTTTTCCTTCCCTCTCCCAGTTAAAATTTTTCCAGTATTTGTTTTGCCCAGTCAAAAAGGCCTTTTTTAGGTAAAAGAACAGTGGCCAGAAATTTACCCTTTTGCTAAATGCTTAAGTATTTGCCATAGCTGTTTCTGATGTCATGGATTCTGAGGAAGTGTCGGTACGTGATGATCTTCCTTTATTGATGTCTTACTTCATGTTCAGTGTTTTAAAAATATAAATTACAAACACTACATCCATACCCAGATTTACTTATTTTACCAGAAAAAAAATTGAGAAATTTGTAGATCAAATTAAGAGACAATAAGTGTACATTGTTGAATAAAAAAATTTAAAGTTTCTGAGGTGTTTGTGTTATCTTTTGTGTGCTTTAATTAACCAATTACTGAAAACTAAGTCAATATTGTGATATTGATAATGGTATATTTTCAACGAGTCAAATGTATAAATTTAAGTCTTAAATGTACCATGGTCATATGTCATGGGTTTTTTTTGTAAGTGCTAAGATACTTCCAGGCACCATGCTAAGCTCTCTGCATGGATGTCTCATTTATTCACAGCAACTCTAAGAGTTAGGTGTGTTTTTATGCTCCCCTATTAAGATTATATGAGTCTTAGGTTAATTGACTTGCTGAAGGTCACCTGGTTAACATGAAAAAGTCAATATTTGAACACCAGTAGTCTGAATACAGAGCCATGTGCATGAAAAAAAAAATCACCTGGCAACTTTGTTTAACATACAATTCTAGGCCCTACCCCCAGAAAGTCTGATTCTATAGGTCTAGGGTAAACAGGTTATTAATTTGCTTAGAAATGGCATGTTTATTGAAAAGTTAACTGTGAGAGCAGCTGTCCTCCCTTTTTGCCTGACATTGAGCCTTATGTTCTTCCAGTTGAAATAAGAAACCAAAGTTGAGCTAAGCAATTAAGCAACTCGTAAGTTGCCAAGATTCTGGATTTATTCATAGCTTTTTTTTTTTTTTACACACCTACAGCACCTGGTCTTCCTAGGTGGTCTCCCATCCAAGTACTAACCAGGCCCAACCCTGCTTAGCTTCTGAGATCAGATGGGATCGGGCATGTTCAGGGTAGCATGGCCGTAGACTATTCATAACTTTTATGTAGAAATATATGGCGATGCATATTTGAGAAACTTCCTAAGTTTGCTTAGCATCGATTTGTCGCAAGATAAAAAATGCAGACGTCAACGTTATTAGAGTAGAGGATGAGGAGAAAAGATGCAAAAACAATTACCAAAAGTGTGTCACTATATAGACTGATACATTTGGGTTATATGTTTAATGTTATTTGAGATAGGGAATACTTGTTCTTGGCCTCGTAAGTGACTTTAAAGTATACAAAGGAATTTGAGGTTTACTACAGATTGTCTTTAAAAATTCTCACCCACTTAACTGTAATTTATGTAAAACATGGTAGTTAATTCAGCCTGCAACTTTTTTTTTTTTTTAAATGACATTTATTGTAGATTTCAGCAGCTAACATTTGGAAGCAATGTCTGAGTAGAACATAAAACTCATTCTAGATTGTTTAGCAAGGTCTCATGCTTGAGAAATTCTCTTGGAGCTTTTTATCCACTACTGTTGGATACGGCGAATTGATTGAATCTGGGAAGTCTGGGCATGAGAACCCCACTCTCTCCAGTGTTTATAGTCTCCTCCATGATGGTCACATTCCAAGATATACTGATAGCCACGGTATCCAGGATACTGGTAGCAAACCCAGCTAGAAAATCCAAAGCACATTGGATTGTTAAAACCAGTTAGGAATGTGATCAACACCCCCAAACTGGATCCTCTTTCCTCAACGCAATTGGTACAGAATACTTTTAGGCTTAGAAAATGTGCCAGGCACCGCTTGTGAGCATGATATGGCTACAGTGAATTGAAAATTAACCTTGATCATGAAAAAAGGTGTAAGAGTAGTCAACATAAATGGTTCCATAGAAGTCTGTTATGGGGGAGAAAAAACTGACCTTAAGTGGTAGTTGGTACCAAGAATTCAAGATTCAGAATTACTAATAACTAGACTGACAGCCATACCAATGTGATGTTAATGTATGAAATTTGATAAGACATGACCATTGATACATTAATAGTCACAAGGTTTACACCTACAAGAGTTATTCTGAAATGTGCTCCAACCCTGTTTTCGCACTTACGCCCCACACTGTATCTTCATGGAACCAACTTCGTTGTTGAACCAACCCATGGCTTGTAAGGAGGGGTAGTCATCACAGATCTCCCACTGGCGTCCAATAAAGTTTTCTTTCTCAAAGATGGTAATCTTGGACTCCTTATGATTCTGTAACCCAGAATTTTTTTTTTTTTAAGTTTAGTACAAGCGTTATGGCTATCTTAATTTTATAATTACCATTTTTTTCAAAATCAAAACACTCCTGTTTTACAGAAGGAAGTACATGATCTTGATTATAAAAATATTTCAGGCAATACAGAGATTTATAAGAAAAATTTTACCCATAATCCTGTTTAATCCAATTTAATACAACATTTAAAATGTACAAAAAATTGATATAGTACTTTGAAACATGAAAGACTAATGAAAATATAAGAGCAGAAAAAAATACTTGCAATACATAGCCAACCAAGGGATTAATATTCACTAATTTGGAAAACGATCCCACAAATTAATAGGACAAGTAAGCCTGTGTGTGTGTGCATGGTATTGGAAATAACCTAAAGACCAGTAGGGGATGTGAATACTATACATGCATTAAGAAGGTAAAGACTAACCTGTATGAAGTACAAAAAAAAAAAAAAAAACAGTCAAAACTAGTCCTGGTGATAGAACATAGGGAAGAGCAATTGACTGGAAAGGGAACTTTATGGGGTAAGGGAAATGTTCTATCTCTGAGTCGGGTGTTGGTTACATGGGTGTACATATTTTTCAAAACTCATTAGCATGTACATTTAGGATCTGTGCATCTTATTATGTGTAAATTCTACCTTAGAGAGAAAATGTGAAGTTAAAGTGAAATGAAAACATCCAGATAGGTCAGTACTTTTTATATATAACTGTTCAGGGTACCTTCACTCCTTGAATTTTGGTAGGACTTTAAGGTGAGATTATTAACAACTAAAATCATGAGAAAAATCACATGATGTAGACTAATATTTGGAAAAATTGTTTCCTAATATAGAGATCATTTTCAACAAACTCTTGAAGATCATCTTGCTTCTGCTTGAACTCTCTAAAGAGCTTAGAAGCATTCTCATCTAATGTAGAATTGAATAATGCTTAGTTTTAGAAACAAGGTTATTATGAATCAAATATAAGAGACACTGGAAGACTTGCCTATTTCTTTAGTCATCCCACTTACTGAAGATAACTTCAATAATACCCTGTTTCTCAGCAAAATGTTACACGGGTTGAAATTTAACTGGTCAAGGATTTACTTTTCACTACAAAGTAAGTCCTCTCACTAGTTATCCTTTGCATTTTTGATAGTCTGGGCTCTTGAGTATCCACTTCCTGCCACCTATAAGGAGGCCTTTACGTCTAGCTTAATCAAAATACCATCTAGTAGAGGAAAATCAAATGACAGTCTTAGAAGCAGAGGAGGCAGTGTTTTTTTCTTTTATTTTTATCTTTCTTCCTGCCACATTTCAGCATAACTGATAAGTAACGTGTCAGTCTATATGCACCCTCTTTTGCCCCATTCCCCACATGCACAGAAGTGAAAATTTCAGAGACTCACAGCTGAACAGATGGGGCGGAAAGACATGAGGCGCTCAATGTGGTAGGCATTACTCCCACTCCAGGCATCCCAGCGAGGGTATTCTCCTCTCTCCAGGATAAACTGTTGCCCACAGAAGCTGGTATGCTCATAACCAATCCAGCTGCCAAAGACAAGTAGTGGCATTTGTTCGCAGTGTTCAGAGCCTATGTGTCCTCATGGAAAAGGCATCTTTTGTTTTAGGTGTTAATAGCAGGGTAACATATCAAGCCAATTCCAATAGAGCCATACAAGTAACACATTTATCTCAAAAGGTGGAGAATGAGCTGGCAGCTGCACTAAGCAAGTTTGTAAATGTGATCTTTGTTTTGGGATTATCTACTGCAAGGGTCTACTTCACTGGCCTGAGTAATAAGTATTAGCAGTCAGTCTAAAGTTATATTTCCTTTCTCTCCAAGTTACCTTATTCTCTACTTGGAGCTCCAGGTTCAGGGTAAAGTGACTGACTATTGCTTTGGCTCTAGCCAAACCTATTGGCTTCTTCCTAAGGAAGCAAAGGGATGAATAGGCAGCTGATGGATTGCCAGTCTCTTGTTTCTTTCTCCTGCTGTCATATACCTATACCTTATTTATTAAAACACCTCAGGTGAATTTTTCACAACCAGGTCTCTTAAAGTATTACTCCTTTTAAAGGGTTAAAGAACTCAATTGTGGCGGTGAGCAACTTGTAGAAGCCTATCCACCTGCAAAGCCAGTTGGACAAAGGAGAGTCCTTTCTTCTGTGTTTTCTGGACTGATGATAAAGGCCTCAACTACCCTACCAAGAGTCAGAAGACAAAGTAAGTCTTGGAAGACTTACGATGAACCAATATGGCTTTCAAGTCCTGGTGTTGAGCTCCTTTTTACACAGAGAAATCAACTAGTGGTGTCTGCTCTGGGATATGCAGGAGGGGAATTAGCTATAAAGAGGCTGCAGTTTGACAGTTACCTCTCTATTCTCTACAGGCAAGAAAAGATCAAGGGTCTTGTGGCTGTTCTGAGAGAATCCTAAGTAACAGCCTATGGGCTCCAGAAGTACAGATTTAATTATTGTCACTGCCCTATGCCATGGTGTATATTTCTTTAATTCCCCTCAAATCTAGTACCAAGCCACTAAAAACCTCCTGTTTCTTCTAACTTTGAGTTACTAAATTACACATGTAGCGATCTCTTTTAAGATTACATCAGTATGGAGGCCTCTCTCACAAATGATTAGAGTCTGGGGGAACATCTTTCTTCTCCAATCTCTACCTTTATAGTCCCATGTCTGAAGGGACTGGAAATAAGGGGCCTGAGGTTCTACTGAGGTCCATACTCACGCGCCACATTCCACCTTGAGAGATCGAACATTATCAAAACTGCGCTCAGAGACATTTGGGCAGGAGCTTGTAAACTCCATCCTCTTGCCCTGGAAGTTCTCCTGGTCATAGATGGTTATCTGAAATGGGATTGAATAGGAAAATAGAGCAAGAATGTGGTACATCGGGAAGAACAGACGACCTGGTAAAAAATTTAGCTTGTGTCTGACCCTGTGTTTTCTATCACTAGCTGTAGCCCAGGATGCCTGATGAGGTCTCTGCCAGTATAGACAGCGTAAGTAAGAAGGGATTTGAATACCACTGTTTGGTGGTGTTAACATGCCCAGGCTAAGGATGAGGTGTGGGAGACTAGTTTATGATCGGAATGGTCTGCCATGGATGATAGCTGACCCATTGGACAGACCAAGGACTCATGAATTTATTCACCATGCTTCCTACATAAGTGTGACCCAGGAGCCAGGATTCTGGGAGTCCCAGGGCTCCCTGTGGATTATTTCTTAGCTTCTCCAGCCACACTTGCTATAGAAACTTAAGGTATAGAAAGAGTTGTAATGAATCCCTTTTATACCCTGAACTAGAACTTGGCTCTTAAACCTGACTAGAGGGCAAGTCCCAAAGCTGTAAGCTGCCCTCAAAGTTGACTCAATGAAGAGGGTAAGAGTGTTGGGAAAAACAATGAAAAGCCTGAGGATCGGCCACTTCAGGCAATGGTTACGACCAACTTCAGGATGCGAGTCAGGAGATCTGGATCCTATCACTTATTTGGGACCTGCCGGCAAATCTCTCTTCATTTCTGGGCCCTCAGTTTCTCCATGGAATAATCCATTCTGGGCTGCTCTACTTTAAGATGATTTTAACAGTGTAGAGGAGCATTGAACTAGAAAACTAGATGTCATATCCCACCCATCATGGGCTTCCAGGGTCATCCTTCTTCTGTCTAAATGGGACATCGTGAGAGATCCTTCCTGCGAGAGCATCTGGACCTTGATTGGATTCTTCCCCTGCAAACTGGTGTTTTATTGGTCGGTCACTGTCCCATGGAAAAGCACAGCCTGCTTTGTGGCAGCATCTCACCCCCTGCTCTGCTGGAATTCTCAATTTTCCATATGATGGGGGTGAGCTTACCTTCCATGGCCCCACGGACCCTGGCATGGGGTTGGTTTGAGCCATCTTGGTGGTTGGAAGGGTTTCTAGAAGACAGAACACACACTAATGACATGGCCTTTGGGATGGGGGACGAGGTGGTGGAGCATAGGGGAAAGTAAAGGAGGTTTGAAGTCCAATTGACTTTGGTTGGGATCCTGGCTCTGCCTTTCACTAGCTGAATCTCAATTGTCTTCCATCAGTAAAGCTTCTATGTGCAGATTTATTGTAAGGATTAGAAGCAATAATGCAGATAAAGCACTGCACAGTCATGGTGACCCCTTGATAAATGTAGCTCTTGTCCTCTTGCCTACCTCCAGGCACCCCCTACAGGTGGCAGCATTGCCTCAGTCTCACATACCCCAATATAAACTCCTTGGCAACCATCTAATTGTTACCCCTTATATTACCAGTGTGTAGTCTCGCCCTCACCAAGATCCTCACAGCCCTCAAACTAACCAGTGGTGCATCGCCATGCTACCATTCCTTCCCTACTTCTCTGTCTTCTGGACCTACCCAGCTTTGGCCTTCCTTCCTCAGAGAGACTTTGTTGCTTTCCCCAGCCCGCAGTGACTTGCTTTCTTTCCTGATTTCTAGCACTCGTCACGGTACTGATATGTGTTCCTACTGAATGTGTCCTGGCGAGTATCTCAATGGCAGGACCCTGGTCTCCCGAGTGATGTAGCACCAAGCTGGGTCCATGTTGGAGCAGTGGTGAATTGGAAGTGGGGGGATGGGTGCAGTTGAAAAAGACTTATTAAAGGAAAAAGAGGAAGAAAAGAGGTTAGTAAATAGCTAACATTTAACAATAGATCACTCTATGCCAGGCCCTGTTCTAAATGCTCTACATGTATTTTTTTTAATTATTTTTTTTATACCTACAGCACCTGGTCTTCTTAAGTGGTCTCCCATCCAAGTACTAACCAGGCCTGACACTGCTTAGCTTCCGAGATCAGACATCAGGCTTGTTCAATGTGGCATGACTGTAGACCATGCATGGACTGCGGTTCCACTGAGGCGCGAACCCAGGACCTTCTGCGTGTAAAGCAGACACGCTAACCGCTACACTATAGAACCACATCTTCTACATGTATTAATACATTTAATCTTCACAACGAGCATGTAAGATAAATACTATCATTATCCCCATTTTACATACTGAAGCTCATAGATTAGGTAGACAGAAAAGATGGTAGGAAGAGTAAAGAAGGGAAAGATAAGGTGAGAGAGACGGGGGAGGAAGGGAAGAAAGAAGTCAAGAAGGGGTGCATCAGGTTTCTTGACTCAGAACAGCCATTCATGGCCCTTTTCTCTGGCTGCTATCAGGCCCAGGGACTGATGGTGTAAATTCTATAATATATCTTTCCATTCTAAACCTCTGAACAAGCATTTCCCAGCTCCTACCCTTCATACCTTCTCCCTATACCCCAGGAGGCTGTTATTTCTTGAGACCCCCTTCCCCCTCCCAGCCATGACTTCTAGGGCAGTGGTTATTGCCATTTAAGCTAAATAGCAGTTTGGAGAGAGAAAGAAACTTTTCCCAGTGATGTTCTCTCAATCCCTCTGCCAATCTCTCCAGCCTATGACTTAAGGTTCATAAGTGTCTCCTGTTGGGGTGACAAGAGAAGGTTGCCTCCCCACAGAGTTCTCCACTTTTCTACCTCATCGTAGGAGACTCTGACCACAAGGCAGGAAAACTAGACCCTCTCCTGGGCATGTCTCTGCAGGAGAAAGAAAGGAAGGGCCAGAGCACCCCTTAGGACCTTACTCACCCAGCTCCTGCTGCACAGTCTGGGTCTCCATCTGGTGCCACTTTCTCTGTGGCCCTGCTCTTTATAGCCCTGCAGACTGATGGCCTCTGGCCCTGTCAGCACTCTTCTTTCCCTCTGCTTTTGTTCCCCCTGATCCCTAGAGCTTTGGTGGCTCAGCTTGCTGGGCAGGCATCCCTCAGGCCTTTGTTTAAACTAGGGAAACAGAAATCCAGAGAGGCCCCACTGCTGTGGGCGAGGCTGGCGGCTGCAGGCCTTGCTGTGATCTTGATCTCAGAGCAGCTGGGAGGTGAGCACAGGTCTCTGCGTGAGTGTTTGTCCACTATCCTCCAGATTCCTCATGCCACCCCAGGACCTTCCTAAGACCCTGTGTCACAGTGAACACATCAAATTGCACCTCGCTTCCCATATAGAAAACGTATTTTTTTGTCATTGTTAAAAAATGTGAAGGATTATTACAATTCTGAACTTGATTAAGAAAAAAAATTGTTCACTCTGTTCTTGGGAATCTTTGTTATACTATATTTATATATAAATATGTAAGAGTTAAATTCGATTACAGTTGACTAGTAGCCATGAACCTCTGCAGCTATTTTATTAAATATTTATTCATTTTAATTTTGCAGTTTTCTTTTTAGAATTTGGAGTCAATGAAACTTTTTTGGTTTTTAATATACTGCTTTAGGACCTTGGCGGTCTCACAGGCACAAGGTACTATACCTATAGTACCCTAAAGGGTAAAATTATTTCTCTTTGAAATGCCAGGGCACTTGCTGATGGTAGTGTAGGGGAATTGTGGGCTTACCCAGGAGCCCTGAAGGGGAGGATCTCAGCTACTGTGAGAAGTAGGAGGGTGCAGTGAATGGGGAGGGCTTTGAGCCTGGCAGGTGCGGATTCAAATCCCAGCCCCCCTGCCTGGGTGATTGAGCAAGTTACTCAGCCTCTCTCAACACCTG